AATATATTTATTTATTTAAAGTAACTAATGTTTTAATCATATACTCTACGACACTGGTCACTCATTTCCACTCAAAATACCTACATAATCGGATTAAAAGTTTTATAGCTGTATTGTATTTCTTCAGATACAAGGTGGGTTAGTCGAAAACATCTTAAACTGCCAGTTTTAGTTTGGTTTTTGTTATTATATCATATTAGCTGTCCTCTCTGTATTTCAGTTCTCTAATGAGGGTCAAACTTGCAGTGAGCTATCAACAAATTATGAACGGACTATAATCATTTGCTACCCGAGTGGGACACAAAATCTATGACAAACATTAACTTCGGGAAAATTTTATAACATAGATAATTTCGATTTCGTAACCTACCTCATATAAAACTTCACATTGAGATCGCCCTTTTAGGAAATGACATCAACAAAATTTCTCCTGAGAATTGGAGAGGAATTGAGAACTCTTTGGAAGTGCTTATACTGGCGGAAAATTCAATAAACTCCATCCCAACAGATTCTTTTTCTGGCTTACCAAATCTGGAAACGATAGATCTCAGAGGCAACAATTTGAGGGAAATCGACCCATCAGTATTCAGGTGAAAGAACAAAAAATAAGTGCATTTACAAAACTTTCTTTTCAAAGTAATCTAGTGTTAACTCAGTCTTATATATATTTATGTGATTAGGTGTGTTTGAAATCGAAATATGTATTCTGTACATTTACATGTCAATGAAACTTTTAGACGCGACTGACAATTTGCTGAGAATGAACCTTTTCCATAAATTATGAGTTGATGAATTGGTTAGGGCTTTCGCTGCCGAAATATTCAGTGTTACTCTCTCCATTCGGATCTGAAGGCCGTCGTAGTTTGGAACTGCATCCTAACATTTCGCCAGCACGAGTGGCTGGATTCTTCAGAGGTTTATTTATCTTGATGATTCACCGATGATTGGTGATTTCTATCTACGAACTAGAACCAGTCATCGGTGAACCATCAAGATGAATAAACCTTTGAGGAAGCCAGCCACTCGTCCTGACGAAACGTTAAGATGCCGTTCCAAACTACGACGGCGTTCAAACCCGAATGGAGATAGTAATACTGGAAATTATGAGTTGTTTGCAGAAAACTCAAACAGAAAATTATAAAGGTCGTCTGTTCTTAGCTAGTACTGCTATTTAGGAAATGGTAAGACTACCAAGATTGGTGAAATTAGATATCTTTTAAATCGCGATGGTCGTTTTCGAAATATTGGCGAACTTGCCGGATTCTGTTTGCCATTTCACATTATAAAAGGATAAGGCGAAGGAAATTTTTATGCTGGTTCTGTTTGTTATGATCTGATATAAACCAATTTTAGACGCGACATTTCGTGTCATCTTTTTCAGTTAATACGGATATCTAGTTTATCGTCATAAATCATTTATGCCTTGGTTACTGTATGGTGGTCAGCGGCTGGTGTGATTAACTATAACTTTCTGCAACCGGGTCAAACCATCACAGCAGCGTCCTATTGTGTAACGGAAATTGCGTCAGCAGCAACCACACTGGTCAACAAAAGAGGTCTGATCCTGCTTCACGACAACGCTCATCTTCACGTTTCACAAATCACCACCCGAAAGTTTACCACCATACTTCCCTGACCTTTCGCCAACGGACTACCATCTTTTCAAGCACTTAGGAGCAGGTAAAAACGGCCATCGTCGACTTCATCGAATCCCAAGCATACAATTTTCATGTTAATGGAATTAATCAACTTGCATTACATTGGCAAAAGTGCAGTGATTCAAATAACACTAATTTCGATTGAATTCAATGATAATTCACTGAGAAATTACAGTTTGAAGTAGACTCATAAAAACGGACTGAACTTCTGAATCAATCTAATAGTATCAGCACTCCAATAAAAAGTTTCATTCCTAATCAGAAAGATTCAATCTTATTATCTATTCTTCAGGGATGGAATGGGCAGGTTGGCACATCTCTTACTGAGCGACAATCAATTGAGCGCCATTCCTTATCAAGCACTACAACCACTCAGAATTCTAAAAACACTCGATCTGAGCTACAATAGAATAAACAAGATGATGCCCGCTACAGATCCTGGTGTAAACATAGCCTTCAATTTCCAACTGAACCTGGACACTTTGAGATTGGACTACAATCAGCTGACTATCCTTGAACCAGTTTCGTTCCAGTATTTTAGTGTGTTGAACAGAACGTACCTTGATGGAAATCCGTTAGCTACCCTGGAAGTATGTATTACCATCCAAGTAATATGCCCTGCACAAGGTCAATAAGTATTATCCCAACATGTTCCAAAATTATAGAGAAAGTAATGGAAAATCAAATGTGCCATTTCATTAATCGTTACAATAGTTTGCCACATGAACAGTCAGGTTTTAGGAAAGGTTATAGTTCTGCAACAGCATTATTAGAGATCGTGATAACATAATTAAAGCTATAGATAAAAATGAAGCCACCATTTTGATTATGTTGGATTATTCAAAAGCATTTGATACCATCAATCATAAAACACTTTGTGCTATATTACATTTTTTTTGGGTTCAGTGATGGATCAGTGATGTTGATATCATCTTATCTAGATAATAGATTACAAAAAGTACAGATTCATGATATTTCTTCTACTTGGAGAGAAGTTGAAACAGTAGTACCCCAAGGCAGCATTTTAGGCCCACTGTTTTATACCTTCTATACTGCCACATTCATCAATAAGATGAAGTCTTGTAAATATCACCTTTATGCAGATGACTCTCAATTATATTTATCTTTCAAATCTTCAGATATAGGTCAAGCAGTAATCGATGACCTAATATAAATTTTGATTTAAATACGATTCTAAAAGTGTCCACTGGCCATATGTTGAAAACCAATCAAAACAAATCAGTAGCTATTATTTTTGGAAGTGATAGCATCAGGAAAGAAGTAAAAAACTACAGCTTTGAAACGGGAAACTCTGAGATACAATTCAGACCGTATTCAAAAAATTTGGGGTTGATTTTAGATCATAAACTAAGATTTCATTAACATATGACCCACAAACTTGAAATTGCTTAGGCATCATTGAAACTCATATATCCCCATAGACAATATTTGGATGTAGATGTCAAAAAATGCTATATGATTCATTAGTTTCATCTCATTTCAACCACTGTGACGCTGTTTATCATTCATGTTTAGACAAGAACGACAGGTGTCGCATACAAAAAGTTCAAAACTCTTGTATCATGTTAATATTTGGTATTAGAAGAAGGTCCAGAATTTCACACAAATTAGCAGATTTGAAGTGGTTGAATTTGTTTAATCGTAGACGTCTTCATGCAACATGCATATTCTTTAAAATATTCAAATATAGGAATCCTTCCTACTCATATGAACATCTGTCTTATAGAACAGATATCCATAATCTGAATTTGCGTAAAAAGACAGTGCTACACATTCCTGTACATAAAAGAGAAATATTCAAAAGATATTTTTCCTATAATATCTCCTTCACAATAAATTATCTCCATAAGTGGGAAAACAATTGTTTCAACATGTCAGAAACTGTTTTTAAAAGAGGATTAAACAGCATCTGTTCAGCATTCAGAATAACTAGGTCCGCGGCGAGAATCCTGAAAAAGGTTTCAGCTATTCATATATCTGTATCTTTATATTACCTTCTTTTTCGTAACTTTTTTTTTTCTTTCTTCTTTTCTTCTCTTCAAGCCCTCATTTACTTTTATACATTTTCGGCATTGGTGGAAGAGCAGACCCGAATGCAAATTCGCGGTCTGAACCAAAAGCCATTTGCAATCAAATACAAAGTGTTTTTATTTTTCTCTCTCTTGTATTTTGATTTTTGTTATTATCTTGTATTTTGATGGGCAATAAACTTATTACTATTATTAGTATTTTTTCCAATGTTGTCATAATAATGAGTGAAAAAATTACTTCTATAATTTGAAATAATATTTTTCAGTATTCAAAGAAATCGGGAGCTTGTCTAGATTATATATTTTATCACCATTTCTGGAATCCCATTCTTGAGAAGCAATTCAGCGATCCAAATATTTCCTACCTCAATCCAATTTTAGATCCATCTGGTAATAATAATGTATTTGATTGTACTTTTCTGGTTTGAAACGGATTAAATGTCACATTATTCTAATCTTTATTTCATTTTGCTTTCTACACAATTTTTTTCCTTGTGTGGATAAAATCCATCTCCATTTATTTCATTAACTGGCAGATTTCTCAAGCTAGTAGACGAATAAATCACTTTTTTTCTCAAAATACGAAAATTTCACTCTTTTTCTGAACCTAATTTTTTTGGAGTGGGGTGGAAATTCTCATAAGACAAGACCGCTCCAATTTTACCTATCCCAAGACGAGATTGCTCAGGATGAGCGTTTTTCAAGTTCTATCGGTTAGACCATCATTTCGCCTCACCCTTCTCTTTGATTTCTATTATATTTTGTAATAGCTTATCGCCGGCCCTCCATTTCTGAAAGGATCATATGCTCTTCCACATCTACAGTTTGCTGGGCACCCCACAATAGCATTGTTTCCATCCAATGGAAGTTCCATTTGGGCCATGTCAACACTGTGTGTTCCACATCGTCGGTTTCATTGCAATATATACATTGTTCATTTTGTGTTTTCCCAATCTTTTTCAATATACTCGGAAGGATCCATGCCCTGTAAGTCTGTAGTATATTTTCTTATGCTTACACGCGGTATCAGGTGTTGAGTCCATCTGCCTTTCGTGCTTGCATCCCAGCGTTGTTGCCAGGTTATTATCGTCCTTTCCCCGGCTTCTGTCCTCTTAATCTTCGCCTCTTCTTCCATCTCGCTCATGAATCGTCTCTCTTCAGCTAGGAGGTCAAAGGGTGGTATTGCCGTGATCACCTGGAGCGCCTTGGTGGAAACAGGCTGGCTATCCATATGAGAGACATTCTTTGGATACTCTCTAATATGTTCCTATATTTGCCAATTTCAATGACGCTATGCCATACTGACACCGCATAAAGTATGGTCGATTGCAATACTCCATTTAAAATTGCTCTCTTCGCCCAAGTGGGTCTTCCGACTGTAGGCATCAGGCTCGTGAGCGACCTAGCTTTTTCTTTTGCTTTCTCAGTACCTCGACGATATGCGAGCCGAATGACAGCCTTCTCTACGGAATAATTTTTTTCTTCATCTATTGTGAAGAACACCTCCAACCTAGCTCTGGAGCCGTTCATTATAACGGCTTCACTTTTCTCCAGGGACATCTTCAAGTGATTCCGCCTCAGCCATTTTCCGATATCATAAAGAGTGTTATCTGCTCTCTCCATCAGTTCCTCAGCGATGTCTGCACATTATATGGCTAATATGACGTCGGCGTATCCTACTAATTCGACTCCTTTCGGTTGACTACTTCTCAAAATAGGGTGGTAGGAGATGTTTCATAGTGTCTGAACCTTCCTGGTATATTTCAAAGAGACTACTTGGTAAATTCAAGTTTGAAAATGTCTACAACTCTTCAAATTTACCTGAAACCAGCCTCCAATAATTTTATGAAAAAAACTCGGAAATAATTTTAATTACTGTTATTATACCACAAGTGTTGTGCTTGCTTTGTGTTGATGATGTTGTTTTCTCACAAGAAAATACCCTTATTGACTTTTTTTTTGTAGGAAAACGCTTTTAGACAGGCAAACATCAGAGAGTTGTACATGAGAAGTTGCGGTTTGACTGAGATTTCTCCTGCTGCATTCGGTGGTTTGGACAACTATCTGGAAATACTAGACCTGTCTGGAAATAACATATCTTTGCTTCCCCAAGCTATTTTCCATCGTTTTGCCTTGTTACGTACTCTATCCCTGCAAGACAATATTGTGACAAGGTTGAATCCAATTGAGGCTTTCAATGGTTTCCAGTTCACCCTGTACAAATTAGATTTGAGTGGAACTCAGAACGAACCTGTTTCGCTTCAGGATTTGAGAAGGTTTGATGTATTTTAAAATATACTTATTTGTAGGCAAATATTGGGAGTGTATCCTGAGTTTATCTTTTCCCTTGATATACAGAAAGAAATTTTTCACACATTTGAAAACCTGAGAAAATATTATTGAAAACTTCACATCCTTCTTGAGTTCCTGCTATCTCTTCAGTTTGTTGACGAAATAATGAAATTCTTGAAATGGAGGTTCTCTTATTCCTTTTTTAGGTTGAGAAGTTTACGAACTCTTTCCCTCTCAAGATTATCACAACCGGAATTATCACCTGAAAATTTTCTGGAATTTGGTATAGACTTGGAGGAGCTTCAAATCAATTTGGCAAACCTGCAAACCATTAAGAATAATGCTTTCAAATACATCCACGCCTTGAAATCACTCGACTTATCTGATAACTCCATTAATACTATCGAAAATAATGCATTTACTGATGTGAGTAAAATTAATTAACCGTGTAAGATGTGGGATTAACTGAATTTTTTTTTAGATAAGTCATTCATTGACTCAATTGAAACTAGCCCATGCTTTATCTTCTTCGATGTCAAATGTACCAACAGATGCAATTAAAACTTTGACAAGTCTGAGAGAACTCGATTTGAGTAACAACAAACTCAAAACAATGCCCGATACCTCTTTTCACTTTCTTCATGATCTGAGGAAGCTGGAACTTCAAGATAATATCATCGAAATCATTCATAAAGGTACTTTTCAGGTAAGGCTGTAATTGATGAACTGCAACTGCAACCCAGTTAACTCATTAAAAAAAAAGAGTCATTCACAAATTAGAAGTAGGCAAAACTGAAGGAGAACTCTGGGGGACCTGAGGTGGTAACTCTTTGGAAGCGATTGCAAAATTTTTCAGCTCAAAAGCTCCCAAATCAGTAACGGTTGAATATTGAAGTCTGTTTAGATGTTGAACTACCCCCTTTCTGTTCTGTGAAGTTTCAATGGAAGAGAAAGTATAATTTCTTCAATAATTTCACTCATTTTAGGGGGACATACATGCAAATCTTGAGGAAATCTATTTTTCGTTCAACAACATCCGGGCAATAAGCCAACATTCCTTTGTCCATCTTCCGAATTTGGAGCAGCTTCATCTAGATGACAATAAGATCGAATCTTTGGAAAGACGTTCATTTATGAACCTAGCACATATTAAGCGACTCAATTTGAAGGGAAATAAAATCACCAAGATATCTTACGAAGCCTTTCAAAACCTCCCCGAACTAGAAGACCTAGATATATCCTACAACGAGTTGAATACTTTCGATTTTACGATGTTCGATCAAGTAGGAACTTTGTCCATATTCAGCGTCAACGTGAGTTATAATAAGTTGAAGGATCTCCTGGTGAATGTGCCGATGAGTTTTGAATCTAGTGCAGGTGGGTCACTTGATTTTTCTCTACATAAGTTTGAATCTCTTCAATGTTCCAAATGAGTTATTTCAACATGGATCATGGTGAAAATATTGAAAAAAATGTTGAAATATGTCTAAAAAGTGAATCATGAATTCGAGGTAAAAATATTTTATATAGTTTTCCCGTAAATAGAATTATTAATTCAGCAAGTGAAAGTTTTATATAAAACTGGTATATCCAAAAATGTGGTTTAATAAAATTTCGAAGATATAGTTTATGGACTAGTGAGTATAGTCATAACTATTATCAGTCCTGGCCACTCTGGCCTGAAAGCTAACTACTGCTGACTATTTTGCAAGGGGACAACTGGTGTCATTGGATCAGAAATTGTCATTGGTACCGCTTTAGGTTTTTGTAAATAGACACTGCAACGAGAATTTTTGATTTCTGGAAAAATCTACTGGAACTGGCCCATTTCGAGGCATTAATACATTGAAGAATGTTACCAAACACTTGTTAGACTACAGTGTAGCTGATCTTTGTTATTTACAAACCCAATTGCAGGTCTCTCTTGTCTGAAACTTCATATGAAGAGACTTGAACATTTTAAAGCAGATCGTGCCGTCTCTATTTGGAAGATGATGAAACAACAGACATACTTTGTGTCAGGCCCGCCGTGGTTTCAATTGGTTTCTCTATATTTATAAGAGTTTGTTACATAATAAACCAATTCTCTTTTGATCTCAACCTAATTTACGATAATACTACAATAATGTCTATATAGCTGAAGAAGGTGGAAGTCTTACTCAAGCACATTCCTGGATAATTTTTTGATAAGGGCTCTATAGTAATATATATTTAAACCCTTCAGCAAATAACTTTTATAACAACAGCAAAAAATGTGTTGTAAGTATTGATAACACAAGATATATGTCGTAGCGCACAAAATAAAAGAGTGTTTCAAAACTGCGAACTGTTGTGATTGAAAGAACGTTTGAGAACACAGAGTAAATTGATGACACATAAAAACATCAAGACGGAAAACAGTACCACATTGAAAAGGTTCTATATTTTGAAGCACTCTGTTTCAAATTAGGTACTCTATGAAAAAATGAGGCACAATTTTTGTAACAGTCTGTTTGCTTTGCGCAGGTCTTGGTAGTGTACATTCGAATATCAAAATATTAGATTTGTCTCACAACAACATATCGTCCATATCTAAGCAGTTCTTCAGACCAGTAGATCTTTCTCTGACACATCTATATTTATCGCATAACCATATTTTGAATGCAACCAAAGATGTTTTCGGAAATTTAAGACATTTACAGTGGTTGGACATATCTCACAATGGAATGTATGAAATGGATTTTGATATGTTCAGGAATACTAGGAAACTGCAGGTCAGTGAATATTATTTTTCTTCCTAAGTAACAATAGCGTAAATGTTTCTATTTCCAGGTACTAATTGCTTCCCACAATCACATTGCAGACGTGCCAAGTGACCTGTTTCGCTTTCTGACCTACCTTAGACTGGTAGATCTATCTCACAATAGGTTACGTTCTCTTCCGGATAACTTGTTTAGAGAAGAAGGGTTGGAGAGGTTGGACATATCTCACAATTTGCTTAGTAAATTACCACTTAGTAGTATGTCGGTTGCCACAGCGATGACTGTATGTGAACTCGATTTATCTTGGAATAGCATTTCCTCTTTGTCACATGGTGGATTATTAACTAGATTCAAGGTAAGGTTCTGATTTGACAAATGTCAGTATATTTGAGAATTGTTGATTATTTCTGTTTATCTTCCGGATTTCAGAAAAATTTTGAATAAAATTCAAAACATTTACTGATGATTTTTTTTTACTTCTTATATTTTTCATGTAAGTTCTATTCTCCTTAGCCTTTCAAATGTTATCAGCCTCAATGTATGAGTTGCGTCCTCATTAAGGTCTATAACAGTTGCTTGATGTCATGGAGAAATATTAAAAAATATGTGATTTTCCATAGTTTTACCGTAAACAGAATTAGCTATCAATTGGTTCAACAGTTTTTAATTCCATTCTAGAGGCTAAACTTTCTGGATTTGTCATACAATCGACTGGCTCAAATTGATGCTGGTACATTCAAGAGCTTACCTAGGCTAACGAGTCTGGATTTGAGTCACAATAGTCAATTGACTCTTGAACAAAATGGGTTGAGCTTTCAAGGACTGGAGTACTCTCTGCTGCATTTAAAATTGGATAATGTATCTCTGACGATGGTAAGGTTTCCCTATTGTCATTTATGAATTTTCTAAAATATTCTGGAAACTGCAGTGAAGTGTTGGACCAATCGCCATACTTTTTGGGAAAAATAATTAGTTCTGACTACACTAATTGAGAGATAGTTTCAGATAAAACTACCTGACTAATTTTATATTGTTCCAGGTACCTACATTACCGACGCCCAATTTGGTATCTCTATCCCTAGCATACAATTCGCTACCGACTGTACCTCCAGAAATGGCAACCAATATGACGAATTTACAAAGTCTAAACTTGAATTTCAATGATTTGACCGCTGTGCCCATCGTAACACATTCTTTGATGGAGTTACGGTATCTCTATATGGTGGCTAATCCGATAACTTTCCTGAGTAATACTAGTTTATTGGGTGTCGCAGATCATCTGGTTGAGCTAGACATAAGGAATGTGGAATTGAATTCTTTAGAGGTAAAATAGTTTCATATTAATATACTACAAACATATATTTCTACTTCTCATTTCCCTAGTTTCTATATATATTTTGGGAGGAAATTGAGGTTGATTTTTGTCTCTTTTTCAAAATTGTGAATTAGTGGTCCTGTTTTTCGGTGTATCGTGATGCAAAATGAATTTTAATATTTCGAGGATATAGATTTCTGGACTCGTGCAAGATTATTCTTTTTCTAGAATTTTTTCGGTTTCCAAATTTTTTTTTTCATCGAAGTTGGTCTCCATCGGCATTTTTTTAATGATTTTTCAGTAAATCCTTCTCTTATTGAACCCTATTTGATTATTTACTGTCATACCTACAATATTTTTCTTCATATCGGGCTCGAAAAACAAAATATTCCAGGTGTTTCTCTTACAGTGAGAAAATGAACTTATCAACGATAATTTTATATAATAAAAGGAGATTCAGGCTCTCGTAGCTATTTATTAAAACTTTATTGTTTACGCCGTCATTTGATGGGATTATTTCCTGATGTTTCACCGACAGGAGTGGTTTTCTTCTTCAGAGGTCCCTGTCATTGCTTCCATTATTGGACATATACTGACGTTTGGCCAATTAGGTCAGCGAAAAGTTAGGAAGAAATTCCAATAGATGACGGCACGAAAATCCGAAACCTCAAACAATTTTATTATGCAAGTATGTCTAATTTTATTTTTTGAATTAAGAAAATTATGAAAACGCCGTTTAATATTTCTGTTTACTCAATAAATCGAACAGAAAACAAAGCAAATATTGAATCTGACTATTTGTTTCAGTCAGGAGCTTTTTGTAAAATGTATTCTCTTAGGATACTCAAGTTGAATTATTACCAAAACATGAAGAATTTCAACATCCCCACTATACTTCAGTTCGTCTCTGGTTTGAGAAATTTGGAGATACATGTAAGAAAATTATGTGCAAAATAAGGGTGGCAATGTCAGCTTTCATATATTTTTTTGGTAGGTAGAATCTCCAACTGACAACAATTTGGATAAGGAAATGGCAGGCGAGCTGCCGCCAAAGTTGAGAAATATTACGTTCACAGGGAAGGGTCTCAAAAGATTAGGATCGAATGTTTTACAGGTACGTATCCTGAGATCATCATAAATGTTCCAGTCAACTCGAAGAGGAAAGTTACGTCAACATTTTTTGAACTTGAATTGTTCGTGTCGCTTTGAATCAAGTGAATAAAGTTGATACCTGAGAAATTCCTGTTTTACGTTTCAGTTTTTCATTGAAATTGTACACGAAATCTACATGAACATTTTTTTTCAGGGTGTGAGAAGTCCAATTCTGCATTTCGGTGTACATAATACCAGCTTGATGAAAATCGTGTATGTTGTATTCGAAAATATTGGTTATGCCAGAAATTTAACCGTTGATGTTAGAGGAAATTCGCTACAGAATTTGTTGAATCCTTCCACAGGAACGAAGCCAAATTTATATAAAAAAGTTTTTCTACAGGAACTGAGGATATCAGAAAATAAATGGTCATGCGATTGCGATTTAGGGTAATGTATACAATGTTTTTTTTCCAAATAAAAAAAGGGCAAAGCTATACTGAAAAGGTTTTATTACTTCTACAGCACACTTCCAACTAAAATGTAATAACTCCTAACTTCATGAGGCTCATTTAGAAAGTAACTTTATTTTTTAGTATTGTGGGTTGAAAAATATGGAAGGCATTATCATCCGAGGCGGAACTTACGCCATAACTAGACTTCAGTTGTTTTCAGGTGTTTTTTCTTGTCTACGAGTTAAAACTGCAATTATTCTTTCTCAATATATCGATAAGAGTCATTGCAAAATTGATTTGATGAACGGAAAGCGATTTTTGTTTATTCGACGGTTTGAGTATTCATAAGTAATTCGAATCCGATAAAGTACTTTCAGTTTAATTCGAAAAGGTATATTCTCAGGAGAGGACAATTTTTGGAAATGCAAGATTTTGGCTTCCTACTTCTCCATCTTGATACAAGAAAATATGGGAATCTTCCAAAGATGTGTAGATTATGAAAAGAAGTAACATTCAAACACAAACTGGAAGAAAAAGCCCCCTCGAAACAGCTATTTTCATATCAACATTGAATTACACGAAAGAATAATTCCTTCGAAATAAATACTTTTTTTTATGAACGCTGAATTATACGAAAAACACTTTTTCTCTATTACGTTTCTATTCCAAACACTTGTAATGGAATCGAATCAGATATCATTCACAGGCTTCCTACACAATATAATTATTGAAAGGAGTAAAATTTCACTTACATGAAACACTAGCATCCTCACTGCCAGACATTTATTTTATTATGATCACCGCAATTTTGAGTTTTGAATGCAAATACTTTACAACTCACTAATATAGTTTACTGTCTGATTTTCACTATAACCAGTTCAATGACAAGCTACATTCCTAGACATTGCTGATTATTTTCTTTGGAGGCATCTTGCGACTTTGGTGTACAGTCAACCAATTCAAACTGAGAAAGAATTGTGAAGCCTCTCGATATTTTCCTGTGAAGCAATAGGGAATACTCCAGGATTTTCCAATGACTACGCGAATCAATGAGAAGTAGAGCTGAAGCTTGCATACTTGCAGAAGGCGGTCATTTTGAACAGTACATTTGATTTTGGTGTTTTTTGTTCATAATAGTTTTGTTTCCAAAAATAAAAAATGCAAATGGAAATTTCGCCGAGATTATTTGGTTACCACAATTATGAAATTAGGAATAAGAGAAAAAATTGAATAGGGACAAGCAAATAAATGCATTTTATTATTTACCTCAAAAACCGTTCTCCGGATAGAAAAAGGCAGGAGACCTTTTGAATTATAAAATAAAAGTAAATTTAATTTGAAAGGGTTATATTTTTAGGAGTGATTAATTTTTGGGAAAGAAAGTTTTTGGCTTTCTACTACTCCATCTGATACAAAAAAATGGATGAGAGAATCTTCCAAAGAAAGGAAGGATTAATTAATTTGAAAATAAGTAACTCTATACATGGATGTGTAGATCATGCAAAGAAGTAACTTTCAGACACAAACTGAAAGAAAGTCCTCCTGAAACAGCTACTTTCATATAAACATTGAATTACACGAAAGAAAAAATTCTTTCGAAACAAATACTTCTATATGAACACTGAATTATACAGAAGATACTTTTCTCTATTCAGTTTGTATATCGAACATTTGTAGATGAATAAGAATCAGATATCATTCACATGAGTTCTACTTTGAATGAATGGTAATAAATGGTACTCACATGGAACACTGTCACCCTAACTGGTATACACGTGTTTCGCCTTAAGACACTTGCCCTAAGGCTCTTCAGTACCAAATTGGATAACATTATAGAAAATACACACACTTCATTCATGAATTACGATTTTGAATGTCACGGAATCAGATGGAGTAGTAGAAAGCCAAAAACTGTCTTTCCCAAAAAGTAAATTATAAAAATGACACTGGCGTATTATGATTGCGATTAAAAATATGGCAGGGAATGTTAACAGGGACCCAACTGATGAACATTAGGAAAACATTAACTAAGGAAAAAAGCGTTTTTTGCATCTACAATGATTAATATTATTGGAGTTTTATCCCAATACCAAACCGTTATTTGTAACACCTCAACACGTGTTTCAATCACTAAGTGATAATTTTTAAGAAGAAAAATGAAGATTAGTTCAAGACTGAGGATTAGTTCAACATTTCTTTTGAAATGATTACTTGGTGATTGAAGTACCTACGTTTCGAGATGTTAAACACCTTGTATAAGATGATACCTGTGCTCAAAATAGGTTTGGAAGTTGTTTCACCCATTCAAAATGCTGCATTTTTTGTAAATATATGGGAGTATCATAAAGAATAAAATCAACAGTAGCCCTATCAGACTGTGATCAGAACCTTCCATTCATAGAGTTGTATGCGACTCCTCGATATCAATTGGTCATTGCATATAAAAGGTTTGTTCTGGTTCTACGAAATTCAGGTTCTAGGATGTCGTGATCATGCGCAGTTGATATAGAGCGTTCTGGTTCATTGAGGATAAGTTCGGATTGATGAATCCTCTGTTCTGGTTTCGACTGCGAAATGATCCTAAACTGTCTTGAACCGTCCTGAATCGTTTATTCTCTGGAGGCTAAACTGTTAAGAACTGTTCCCGTATTCATGTGGAAATTTGTTTGGGCTATTTTCTAGGATTTTTTTTCGTTTATTTGATTTGACTTATTGATGAATGGGGTTAGATAACATTTGAACTGACTACAAGGATCCGCTACATAACAAAATGGACCAGAACCAGAACAAACCTTATTACAAATCTGTCTTCCAGAAGGTTTTGTAATATTTTGATAACAAATAGCCGCTTGATAACATTAACATTTTGGCCCTATGTAGCTCATACTTCAACAGAGCTACGGTGTGGTAACTCGTGTTTCACTTTTGCCTCTACAACTGAGGGGACTTACTTTGTGAAAGACCCTACAGACTCAGAGGTTAGTTGATACTTTTCCATAGAGCGCTTATTTTTTTAACAACCCTCGTACTCCTTCAACATTGATATTGAACAATAACCTGCAAAGTATTTTTTTCTTCTGTAGGTGGATTGAATTTTGGTTAAGAAAACGTCGTCAGTATATATGTGAAGACAGTCCAAGCATACCATCTTCAGTGAGAGACCCAGAATATACATGTAGACACGCAGATGACGACCTAAGGACTGCGAAATGTCAGAACAGGAATAATGTTTCAGTCATCGAAGTCCTCAAAACAGATATTGAATGTGGATGGAGCTCTGCAGTGGCATTAGTTTCTTCTTCTTTGTGTTTCGTGGTTTCGATCGCTTTGTTGATGGGATTTGTGTGAAACTAGGATGAAACTCTCTTGGATTCGCGAAGAGAATATTGTGAAGATCACATTCTAGTGTACTGACTTAATTTGAAGATATCTTGTCTGGTGGTTCTTTTCGAACACATTTGGTTAGCAAATGAGTGAGTTTGTATTTATTTCATGTATCATCCTTGATTTTAATCATGCGTATAATTAGGAAGTGAATTTTTTACCTTTATGATAGTGGTGTTTGCTGCTGATTATATTGATTTTTCAATGTGTCATTTAGTATGTATTTAGTATAGGAGGGATACTTGAACCTCATCGCCAAATTCCCAATTTTTTTGCAACTGTATTATATACATAACTTATATCAAACAAATACTCAATTGTGATTGGAAAACATGATACATTCCTTATCAATTATTCTATTGTGAACATTCTTTTCAAATTTTTTCATTTTCTGGTGTTAAAAATTTATATGATTCAATGTATCCTAAGATATTATAATGGTGATTCTAGATCATAGTTTACTTTGTTCCCTGTAATTAAAAATGATTAAAAATATCAAACATTCGTATTGTTGACTGAAATTGTTTTACAATTTGGCGATTATTTTAACCAACTCGAACTGCTTCTTAGAATTCTGCTTTTATGCCTGCTAGGTATGTATTTGGGATGATTTTTCTATAATGATGGTCCAAGAAGAATAGAGAATTTGTTATAGAAGCTACCGGAACAAGAATGGAGATGAAACCCGTCGAAATCATTTCTACCATCTTTCAAAAATATAAAAGTGATAGCCGATGAAATCAGCGTTAAATTTTCAGTAGTGGGTAGAAAATGAAAATCTGTTAAAACAATCTGTTTTCCGTTCCCCAGCTGTCACACCCCTAAGAAAGACAACCCTCAAAGGTAGAAACTTTGTGCGAGATGAGGATTAATGAGGTCTCACATTTTAACGTGCGATTCTTATGACGATACGTAAAATAAAAAATATTCCCAAGTTTCAATTGAAAAGTCAACACTATCAAACTTTTTTAATTCACATTGCAGGTAGTGATAATACAGCTCTACAAAAAAAATTTTTTTGTGTTGCCCTGGATATTTTTGCAAATTTTTATGTTTTCGAGTGCCTAAATCACGAATATATTTATGAAAGTACTGAATGTGCTTTATTTTTTATGATTTTTACGTATCTTGTATTTTTAATAATAATCGGCTTGTTAGTAAAAAACATTTATTTTCTCAGTCATGATTAGGCTTCTGCGCAACTTTTTTGCATGTACAAACATCACGTGATCCCCACTTCTCGGGCTCCTTGCTCTGCAAAACATCTGAGAACTCAGTTATTTGATAATATTGAAGTACTAACACGGAAATCTGGATAAGTTGTTATATGTTAATATTTTGTTTCAAATGTTGAGTGTCCGTTCTAATATATTTATCTTGTCTTTTCAAACATGAGTTTGTCACGAAGGAAGTGCAAGAGTTTTGATAGTGACCACCCGAAGAGAAATTGCTTCATTGGAGCCTATATATTCAGATGCTATCATTCTACTTCCAGATTAGTAGTGTAAGCTGCAGATAGGAGAAAATCGATTTCTCATTCGGTGGTCACTGTCGAAATTTCGCTTTTCATCAGGCCGCTGTTGAAACTTTCATTCAATTTTACAACTTGTGAATCGAGATGTCATCTGCATTACTTTCAACCCAGCATTTCTCTCTCTCTCTCTCTCTCTCTCTCTCTCACAGGGGTACCTAAAGTTATACTTGATAGATTGAAAGATGGATACAATATTTTTGAATTACTTTATTTTATTAGAGTGACAGTCGGAAATGTACCTGGCAATATGGCAATCGAGTCCAATAGAAAAAATTATGTCACTAGTACGTACTTTGATAACATTTTATTTCGTTATTACATTTACAATCCCTGAGCAACTTACATGAAACCAATAAAATGTATTTACATATTTATACAGCTATTTTTTGTTCAACATTTTCAAAATATCAATCACATTGAATATATTCAAAAGAAAAAGTCCATCACTACATTGGAATGTCTCATTTATTACATGCACTTAATGATAGTTTGAAGAATCAGGATTATTTTTTCACACTCTTTCTAAACTTTTTTTTTGGTGTTAGTTATTTGGAACGTAACAAATTTAAGTTGCTTTTGCCAACTTATTTCATAATGTGCATTATTATGCCCATTATTTCTTAATATTGGTCAATTAAACAGTATAAAAGCTATTTTTAAGGCTTTTTAGCCGTGGTCTGCAGGTTTTATGCCTGATGTTTCGTCCACTACTGCGGTAGATGTTATCAAATGCTATGTGGTAACGGTCGCGAAGCCCGAGTTGGCCTACCACGGCCAGAAAATCCGGAGAATAGCTTTCACAAAGTTCTCTGGCCGTGAAAGTTTACGTTCTTTGAATAAAACAGTATTTAGTTTATTATTTTAACAACCATCTCATCAAAAATTCACCAGTTTACAAATCAATTGGTCATCCTGTATACAGATATCTGTTTAAATTTTATCAGAGAGTTTTTATTAAGGATGGCTGATTTGAATTATCCTTACAATAGGTCAATCAATCTAGGGATTCTTGACGATAACATTCTACCTTCACGATTTCAACGAAAGAGTTAGTTATGTGAGAAAATAATCTCAAAGACAAGGTGTCAATATCTTCATCAGCATAAATTTCCTAATATTAGCTGTTGATTAATATTTACATTATGGAGTTTAATGTACATGTTTAATAAATAGATATGACATGGAAACAAACTCGTTTCAATTCTATACACTTTGTAATAAACTATTTATCCACTCTCGATTATTAAAATTCATTTCAATCTCTTTGGCGATATCAATAACAATTCACAATTTGATGAGAAATAATTGCATTTCAGAACAATTGAATTGTTGACATTTGCTGGAGTGATTTAGTACAAACAATTTATTTGAGTAAATAAATATTAACATTATGTACAAAAAATGTTTTTAAATTCGTTTAGGTTATGAACAACATCATAATTTGAAAATATATTTCAGAAGAAACCTTTCTTAATGAATCCTGTTCATACAACAAAAGTGATTTACAGAAATGCGAAATTTCAATAGCACAATATACGTACTTGATTGAGTAACCTTACAAATATATTTTGTGGAAATAAAGTGGAAGACAAAAAAACGTACCGAAACAAAAAATATGATCCGATTATGAAAAACTCCGAAGGCCAATAATAAATCAGACGATCTGAAACGATTATAAACAAAAACAAAATGGTAGATACATCATCAAAGAAGCAACGAACATTTGAGAATGAAGTAGGAAGTATTTCAAAGCTTTCAATGTTGTATTTAACAATACTAAAATTGTATTATAAAGCCGCACGCCAAACTTTTCATATTCTACATGTGAAGCTTCTGGTGTTAGCAGTGGACCTTTCATTCTTGATGAATTTCACTTGTTCGGACTTCCATTGTCTAATATATAAAATGATTTGAAATCCCTGAAACAACTAAAAAAGAAGAATTAAAAATGAATAGCTGAAAATAACAATTATATTAAGCAAAAATAACCTGAAATGAAATGATAGTGAAATAAAATACAAGTAAAAATAGAACGATTGAACAAAAAATAAAGAAATAAAAATGAAAATAAGAATAAAAAGTTAAGAGATTCCAAGCCACGTTAGTTCACGACGTTTCGACGTTAGTATCTACAATCGTATTCGGGTGATGACTGTACTGATTTCTCCAAGAGATGACTATTTATGGGTCGTTCGAATACTTATCCCCGCTTTCCATTTTTTCCGCTTCACTGGTTCAGTGGGAGATGATCGTTTGGCGGGAGTTGGCCATTTTTCGCTTGGTGATGGGTTTCTATATGTTGCGTATCTCTACGCTAGATTGGCTGAATACGTTGTTGGACAGCATATATGCGGCTTCCTTGAATTTTCTCCTAAACCAGCAAATCAGGAATAGCAGCCCATGTTTGGACCCATCAACACAACATCGAGTGGGCCCAAGCTGAGATCATACACAGAAAGAAACATTGGTTTAGGAGAAAATTCAAGGAAGCCGCATACATGCTATCCAACAACGTATTCAGCCAAGCTAGCGTAGCAACGTATGGAAACCCATCATCAAGCAAAAAATGACCAACTCCCGCCAAACAGCCATCTCCCACTGAACCAGTGAAGCGGAAAAAATGGAAAGCGAGGATAAGTGAAAGTACTCGAACGACCTATAAATAGTCATCTCTCGGAGGAATCAGTCCAGTCATCACCCGAAGATGATTGTATCGATTGTAACAATCGAAACGTCGTGAACTGACGTGGCTTGGAATCTCTTGATTTTTTATTTTTATTTTAATTTTTATTTCTTTATTTTTTGTTCAATCGTTTTATTTTTCTTTTTTAGTTGTTTCAGGGATTTCAAATCATTTTATACGAAACGAAAAACAATTCCTCATACCTCGTGGTAAAAATATTACTAGACTCTCTCATCATTGGCATTGTAGTGAAGCTATTCCAGTTCAATATTCACAGGAATAAATAAATTGGCAGTGGCATTAAAACAGCGATCCCTGGAGAAAGAAATCCCAGTCAAAACAGTCACCCAGGCAAGTAGTTTCGAAAAGAAAGTTGAGGAATTGAAAAAACTTGCTGATAGAAAATTTGACTGGTTTTCTCAAGCCTAATATTCAAATTTCCTTTCAGTACTAAAGATCATCCGATCATCCCCAAGTTTAAAAAAGATCATGAGTGACCACATCAGGATGGTAGAGTAGCCACCAAAAATTTCGAGAATAGTAAATATATTCGTAGTAGATGTGAAACTCAAATCAACTCCAACCTCCCCATGGAATCATTTCTGAGAACGCGAATAAAACTCTGGACTCTGGTCATCTACGATGGAAACAAAATCCACTGAAAGTTCTTACACTGTTTTTTGAGTGCAACTTCTTTACACTCATTATTATTCTTTGCTTTCATTAAACACCAATTTTATTTAATCATGAACCAGCCACCATGATTATTAAAATGGAGATACGCACTTGTATTAAATTTTTACGGTACCTTTGAAGTTTTGGCTCACAATCATCAAGACTTATTGTAAACCATCAGCTAAAAATTGTTTTTTTGTTAATACAAAAAGGTTTGAGGTTATGACTGGTTTTCGAAAGGGTGTTAGGGTGAAAAGATCAGAGCTGATTGAACTAAATTTTTGCATATCATGTAAAGAATGTTTTTTGGCTACTTTCAAAACAGAACATACGCTTCTCTCAAAACCAGGTTATACCAGACAACTTTGGGTGAATTCGAAATACATTCAATTTTCCAAAATGCAATCATTTAACATGTAACCTAACCTAAAAGCTCAATTCGATTCACGGCTGTTCTCATTGCTCCCTGTAACAGACTCATTTTGGAGAACATTCGTCGACGAGGGAGAGTTGCTATTGCTTCCAGAATTCAAAGCAGGTTCGGGAGGTATCAGTCCCTCCTTCATCCTCTTCTTCTGCTTCATTCTCCTGTTCTGGAACCAGATTTTCACTTGCGTTTCGTTGAGCTGTAGCGCTGAAGCGATCTCTATTCTCCTCGCCCTAGTTAGGTATTTATTGAAGTGGAATTCCTTTTCCAGCTCTGTGAGTTGTTTGTTGGTGAAATTCGTTCTTCCGGTGTTCAGGCAATTGAGGCCCAGAAGATTGGATGTGTTTGAGCCCAGGCAGGAATTCCTTGAAGCCGGGTTTTGGGTTTCTATGTTGAGGGCCGAAGGGGAGCTGGCTGGGTACTCCGTCATAGTGGGCGATGAAAGTTTGGAAGCTGAAAAAAAAACTTTTATTATATGGTACTGTATGAATGAGCAATAATAACAAATGCACATTAGAAAGGGAAAATTTGAGTTATGAACGAATTGAAGTGGAAAAACTTTCCACTAGAAATTATTTGGAATTTTTTCAACACTATTGAAAGTGAGTCGAAAGAATTAGGTGACGATGAATAATTATGTACTATTAGTAATAAGTAATCAACAACCCAGGTAGCACCAACAAAATTATCTATCAGTGATAGGTAATTTTGTTCATTTCATTTAAGTTTTCAGCATTGACTAGCTATATGTTCATTTGTTAAATTGCCTACAATTAAGGTGTTCTGTAATAAATATAGTTTAAAAAACTGAAAAACACGCTTTCAAAGAACATCAAACTGAAAAGTTGAAAATATTTTTTTTTAAATAAGCTTAAAACAATAACGATTGTGAAAAAAGCCTGGGCGCTAGATATACAGAAAATATGGCACAAAGCGCCCATGCTTTTATCACAATAATACTGGTATTTTTCGATCGCTATTGTTTTAAGCTTATTTAAAAAATATTTTCAACTTTTAAGTTCGATGTTATTTAAAAGCGTGTTTTTTAGTTCTTTAACTATATTTATTTTTAATTTTTCAGTTCGATGTTCTTTAAAATCGTGTTTTTTAGTTTTTTTAAACTATATTTATTTTGTACTTTTAACTTTCATATGCTATGAAAGCCTGTTTTTTAGTTTTTTGAACTATATTTATTATTTTGATATTCTTTTGAACAACCTACCAAGCAGGATATGTACAGCGCCATCTGCCCGCGAATAGATCAAGAAATATAAAGTAGGTTACATACAGCGCCATCTGCCCGCGAGTAGATCAAGCAATAATGCCGATAATTTTGTCAATACAGATCCCGAGCTTGAGAGTTACAAACAAACATGCATACGAAATTCTCGAACGAGGAGTTTTCTGGATAGCAAATTAGCAGGAGAAGTATCATGATATGGCTTCCTAGATCACCCTATTTCACAACGTTAGACTTTTTATGGAATACTTGAGAGCCGAGCCGCATTTCGTTGAAGCCTTATGAAATAGATTTTTCTAGAGTTTAAGTTAATGACATTAAAATGTACTTTCGAAATGTTGAAAATGATTTGAGAGTGCTGCTGCCGAACTATAGTGGTGAATAAGTTACATCCTTGTGGACCGGAGAGTTGACTAGTAACACGAACATTGTTAATTGTCTGGTTATTTTCATGACAGTCTGGCTGAAAAAAAAATCAGCGAAGCATTTCTCTCTTGAATCCATCATTCCGGTGAGAAGTAAAAAAAATTCTTATACCTGTTTCCTGCTGAGGTGTAGCCTGCCCCGGATTTGGTTAGGCATTTTGGTCATCATGTTTTTGTTCCTAATTTTTTTTTGGAGCTTTGGTATTTTGTTGTGTTGGTTTGTTTATCAAATCATAGTGTGCCAGTTTCTTCATTTTTTCCTTATCGCCCCACGTTGGGCGCCAGATGTGACGAGAGGTCCTCCAATAAGAAGTAAATAAATGCAGGAGTGATGAAGATCAATTTTATTTTTGCAAGATGGTTACCGAAGGTCAGTTTCAATATTTTATCTTCAATCTGTATCTGTAGATTAGGGAGAGTGAGTGTAGGCCTACAGCACTTAGGCCACATGTGACCCATTGTACATCCTGCCGAGGAGTTGTCCTCCTAGGTCATCGTCCATACTGTCCTTTCTGGGAAGGTGGACAGGTCACTGGGAGACATCTCCTTCGTATCAGCAGGTGTAGGCCAAGACTCGCCGAACACACACTCTCTTATTGACGATAACTTCGGGCACTCGCTTAGGACATGCTTGACAGTCTCATCTTCCTGTTCACACATCCTGCATAGAGGTGTATCCACTAGCCCCATATTATGGAGGTGTTTCCTTAGTTGACAGTGGCCAGTCAGAAATCCTACTGTTAAGCGTAGATTTTATCTTTGAATTTTGATTTCAAGGTCATCATTTCAAGGTTCATCTCAAAATTTCTGGAATAAATTCAAAATCTCGAGTTTTAAGTCAAAGTTTCGAGATTTGAGTCTAGATTTTGAGTATAAACTCGAAACAAATAATTAAAATGTGTGGCCCTTCCGTCCTTTCATGCGAATGACATTTTTAAATTGATAAATAGTTCTCAACTTGCTTTGACAATTATCAGTTTATATTAATGATGTGCATACTATCATATCAATGCTATGAATTATTTCACACCCGCGAATGAAATGATAAGTAATGAAAAAACAGCCATAGTTTTGCGTTCAAGTGAATTTTTGATATGGTGGAATTGCAAAAATTAATGTTTTTTCTATAGACAACTGTGTGTATTATTTTTCACTTTTATTATTTCTCCCCGCCTCGTTAAGGAATTGAGTTGAGCATATCGATTTTTCTATAGTAGTTTTTTGATTTCGTTGTGTTCGTTGAGTTCTCTCTCTCTCTCTATTTTAGATGGTCGTTGCTTCCTATCGTCAGGCGCATATGACCAATGCTCCTCCTGTTGGTTAACAGGAGCTTCGTCAGGGGGCGCAGCTGTCTTGCACAAAGCAATGCTGCCACCCATTTTTTTTTAACTTTTTATAATAAAAACACTAGTTTTTTTTAACAAAAACAATTTGATTTTTTGAAGTCGCCTCCTACTTGGGAGACCTTTTGATAATTTTTCACATATATAGCCCCCTTTACGTGGTTATCCGAACCACCCCGGCCTGGATACCGGCGTGAATAAAGGGGGCCACTTATTCATCACTTTTTTAGACACTCCACATTTCAATTTTGATACGACACAACACAAAACAAAGCCCCACGATAGCACATGGCATCCGCGTACCTTCTTTGTGGACGGACGTTATCAGCACGTCCGTCCCCTATCACGGCCACCACGGAACTCCGTGTTCGTTGAGTTGAAATGGTTCGTCATTGATGACAAGTAAGATTTGAGTTACTCAAAACATCTGGAAGTTTTGTATTATTAATGATCTGAATAGATGATTAAATGAAGAAAGCTTGTACTGATTTCTTGCCAACTGAATTTGTCATACTTTCTTTCGTAAATTATAGCGAAATTTCAAGGAAACATTTTATTTTCGAGTCTATTTTTTTAAGAACCTTCACCTTAAAACTTGTTGAACTACTGTAGCACTTTTGAAAAGTTATCCTTTGTGAAATTTTGAGATGGTTCGTGATCACCAACTTTTAAATCCACCTCTAGATTAGTTGTAAAATTTATAATATGAGTGATATAATCTAATATATAAAAATGGATGTTTGTTGGTTGGTTGGTTGGTTGGTTGGTTGGTTGGTAAGTGTAAGCAAGTAATTTTAAATAGAGAAGGTTTGTAGGCTATCAATTTTTCTGTAACTTACCACTAGATGGCGCTGTGGAACAATTTTTTGAAAGCACTGTTCTATAACGGTGCGCACGCCTAAGTTCGTTGATTCTGATTTTGTCAAAACATTGAAACAGCAGCGATACAGCAACATAGTACTAGTATAATATAAATATGAATATTGCTGTAGAATGCAATCAATCTATATCAATTTATATAGTACTAATTGTTGCTCGAGGTTTTGCCCGTGTAGAATTTGGTAGTTGTAGTACTGATTAGTACTATGTTGCTGTATTGCTGCTGTTCCAGAATCAACGAACTTAGGCGTGCGCACCGTTATAGAACAGTGCTTTCAAAAAAATTTTCTACAGCGCCATCTAGTGGTGAGTTACAGAAAAATTGATAGCCTTCAAACCTTTTCTATGAAAAATTACTTATACATGTCAAGTTTCATCACGATCTGTTGAGCGATGTAGAAGTTTATCACTTACCAACCAACCAACAAACACCCATTCATATATATTAGATAAAAACACTATTTGCTCATGAAAGATGATGATTTATCATCTGGATATTTCACTACTACGTATTTTGATGACGCGGATGACTATGGCAAATAACATGAGGCAATTAAATGTAATGGAAAAAATTGATGTGTTTGTCTAGCTTGTTTGCTTTACAATTCATTTTCAACTATAACATGCTGTGCCACCAGCCAAAGTAATAACTTTAAAAACGCGCAAACTGGCGGAATCCACCGGTTTTAAATTTCTCTTCCAATTCACTTAATGGAACAACAAAGACCGTATTAAAAAGTAACTTACCGGGGTCGCACCACCATAAGTTGGTGTTTTTTTATTCGATTTATCAACACGTTAGCGGATGAAAAAATTGGAAGCCCTCCTAGAAAGACAGCGAACAAGATGAATTGCGGAAAAGATTCAATTAGTTCGGATGTGAGATCGAATGCAACGCGTTAATAAGAAGGCTAATCTGTCTTCGTTTATTAGTTTTTCTCGGTTTCGCAGAAACTCTCTTATAGTTTGGTTACACTGAAAACTTGTACCTCTGGACATGTTTCAGATGTCAAGAAACGGTGGTGTGAAGAAGGCTCGTCAATGTAATAATTAATGAATAAATCAATTAACATTTCCAGTTAGGTACATAAGCTTGCATATAAATATTACTTGTTCAATGTAGTGACCTTTTAAAGAAATACCGTGGATGAAAAACGTTATCTCATTTAAAAATCTCGGTCAACGACTGTCGTATAGAAACCCCAATGGTGAAAATTATAACAGGTTTTTAACGATCACAATAATTTTAAATTTTTAATGGATTGAAGTAAAGGAACCAACAGCCGGAAAATGAGGAATAAACTTCTTGCTGGTTCTGATTGCTCCAGATCTGACTCTTGATAACAACAGACCTCCCATTGAGCGCTAAACGCCCAAAAAAGAACGATTGGGAGGTCGTCAAGAAGGTGATCACAGCACCAGCAATTGAATAGGCTATCAAGTCGTTTGAACCCTTCAAATCTCTTGGAGAGGATGGTATATTTCCAGCTCTTCTTCAAAACGGACTGGAAATAATTGTATAGAGATAGTCTTGCAAGGGTGGTATATATACCTAAAGTGGATAGG